ATGGACAGTAATCTTGTTTTCACCTCTTCCAAATCCTCCTGATGATTAATCTTGCACCTTCTCAAACCCCACCTGGCCAGTCGTATTTCAGACATTCTCACAAGTCCCTTCCTTGCGTATCTGATTTTATGTTCCACATATCTACAATATCCACTCACCACAATTATCAGCAGAAACATGTTCAATTAACTCCTCCCAGTGCAGGCACTTGCACTGTAAGGAATGCTGACATGGCTTGTGGCAACACCACAAAAAATGGGAATTAACAATCCTGGCCACTGACTTAGCCAAGGTGAACTCAGTGAGGTCTTGCCTTACTGCCACAGCAAAGCTTACTCCAAAGGATGCATTTAAAATCATGTTGCAGTGGACTGTAACCAACCATTTAAAACATTTTTTTTTGCAGCAGAAGCTCCTGCATTTCTTTACTAAATAGGACATGGAGGGAAGCACATTTATTTTTGTTATAAAAACTATTGTGGCAGTGCAGTAGTGGGTAACCTACCCCAAGGGTATGCTGCTCTTTCCAGTGCACCACTGACTGCAGCCTTCCTGCTATCCCAGGAATCCACAGAATCCTTACCTTCACATGAACTCTTCCAGCTTCGTTTAAACTACACAGAAGTCTTCCCCTTCTCCCCATAAAATAATACAGACAAAAGACCAACAAATTAAAATGAAAAATTCAAGCCTAAGATATTGAGTAATTTTATACCCAGTGCTCTCATTTTTTTTATTATTGGCTTAATTAAGTGAAGGAACCAGAAAACAGAAACTTATATCAACAATTCATCATATCTTCTTTGTTAGGCCAAACAAGCCAAATTCTTCTAATTCCCCTTTGTCAGACATACTTGCCATTCATCATCCTTAGTAGCTCTTTTCTATAGCTCTTCTGGTTCATTTTGACATATTTAAATCAGATTTTTACTCTACAGCACTGACAGAGAACACCCTTCTGTGATATTTTAGGACTGCCCTTCTCACAGCAGCATTACCCCAAATGCTCATCCCTGTATGACCAAATTGCTTTTGCCAGTGTTCCTCACCAAGAGTTAGTCCTGGTGTGTAACAGAAATAATCAAATTGTTTGTTATCACCTCACAAGACTATAACCTTGTACTGCTGCACTTGACTCTGCTTTTACAGGGTAATGTTACCTTCCTACATAAATGTCCTTCCTCTGCCATGACAATCCCTCATGGTTTTTGGTGTCAAAAAAATCCTACTGGTGCTGCTTTTATTCATAAAAATTAACCAAGTCAGCCTCCCTTCTCCTCAGCAGCAGCACCTTCTCTCCTTCCCCAAGAGCTTCTTAGCCTCTCATTTGCCAAGCTGCCTCTTCACTAATTTCATGTGTCTCTAACAAATGCAATCTACTGAATTCTTTTTGTCTGGGGAATCAGTTCTCTCTTAAAAGGAAATACCAATACTAAAATATTTAGCCTCCCTTAAGCCTCAACAACATTTTTACTCTTAATTACGACACCCTCGGAACAAGTCAAGAAGTTCCTGTGGATCTGCATCCATCCACTATTTATTCCAAGCTACTCCAAGATCCAGTAACTAGGTGTTTGAAGCAGGCTATAATTCCACAAGGCACAGGAGCTGGTTAACAGAGGCTGGGTGAGAAAGCAGCATCTCCTCACCCGTCATACCCTGGGTTATGTAACCCACCAGCTGCACTGCACTCCCAGAGCATCAGCTCACAACCAAAATGCCTCTGCTGACCTCAGAGAACACTTTCAACTCCTGCTGTACCTCCCCTCACACCAGCACGTGAGATCTAACACACAACCCACACTAAAAGTTGTCATTGCATGTCAGCAAATGAAATGAAAACATCCCAGAGACAGCAGACAGCCAGTGCACCGAACACTGCTCCCTTTTGTTCATCACCAACGAGCACGTGGAACCCACACTTGACTCTTGAATTAACCATTTCACACAACAAAGGTGTTTATTGTGTGGCTGCTGAGGCTGCACTTTCAGAACGCAGTTTTCCAGGAATAGGATTTGTCGTGGCACGCTTGGCACTGTGATTTTGGGAAGAGCAAGGATATCTCTCTGGAAGGGCCACACTCAGACGTGTGCCTGATGAACTGTGGCTCTCCTCCCCCACCAGCACATGCTGTGTTTTCTCAGCAGTACTGTGGAAATGAGAGCTTGTTTCCAAAATGGCATCCATCTGTGGGTTTGTTTTTTTTTTTTTTGACTCAGCTATTTTTAAAAAAAAAAAACAAACAAAAACTCCACCTAAGAGCCCTCGGCGCTGGGATGAAGGCGGATTGACAGCTGATAAGGGTAGGAAATGCTGCCTGTTTGCACAGCACCTCACAAGTGGTGCTGTAAAGTCTTACTGCAGAAAGATAAGGGATAAGCAAGTGAAACAACAGAAGCTGAGCCCAGAAGAACTTTTGACTGCCTGGGGTATGTTTATAAAAATGCTTAAAATTCGTTATTTTCTGTAAGTAATTTCAGAGGAATCCTCAACACGACTGGTCAGTCTGTGCACACACACACACACCTGCAGGGGCCTTTCCCACGGGGAGATTTAAACAAGAGACAAGGAGAAACACTTTGTTATTCCCGTTTGGAATCATAGAAGGGTTTGGTTTGGAAAGGGCCTCAAAGCCCATCTTATTCCAACCCAGCCATGGGCAGGGACACCTTCCACTAGCCCAGGTTGCTCCAAGCCCTGTCCAACCTGGCCTTGGACACTTCCAGGGATGGGGCAGCCACAGCTTCTCTGGGCAACCTGGGCCTCATCACCCTCACAGGGAAGAATTTTTTCCTGATATTTAATCTAAACCTACTCTCTTTCAGTTTGAACCCACTCCCCTTGTCCTGTCACTCCATGTTCCTGTAAACAGTCGTGCCCCATCTTTGCTGTAAGTTCCCTCCAGGTACTGGAAGGCCCAATTAGGTCACCCCAAAACCTCCTGTTTTCCAGGCTGAACAATCCCAGTTCTCTCAGATTCTCTCCGGAGAATCCCATTTCTCCTCAGGGTGGGGAATCACACCCCCCGAGTCTCACTGCGAACCAAACCCCGGCACAGCCACCGCCGCAGCCGCCCCCCGGACCCGCACCCGGGCCGGCCGCAGGCCCCGGGGCCGCCCCCGGCGCTGAGGGAGCCCCGCAGCCAGGCCGAGGGGCGGCCCCGCGGGGCTGAGCGGGCGGGAGGCGGCGGGGCCGGCGCGGCCTCCCGGCGGTACCTGCAGCGGGTGCGCCTTGCTGAGGTGCATGTTGAGGGCCGGACTGTTGGGCAGCACCTTCCCGCAGCCGGGCACGGTGCACAGGATGTTGGTCCGCACTTGGGACAGCTCGGTCACCGAGGGCCGCACCAGCTCGGCGGCGGGCGGCCCGTCCCGCCCGGGCGCGGGGGGCCGCCCCAAGCCCCCGCCACGCCGCCCGGCCGCCGCCGCCGCCGCCGCCATGTTGCTGTCACTGCTCGGCCCCCCGCGCCCCTTCCGGGGCCCTCGGCCAATCGGTGCCGCCGATGGTGAATATTCATGAGGCACGTGTCGCGGCCCCGCCCCCCGCTCTCAGCGCCACCTAGCGGCGGCCGCTGGCAATGCCGGGGGTGGGGGGCGAGGGAAAAAGAGCCCGAGGTGCGGACCGGGAACAGGGGGAGAGACTTGGAAAACAGGGAGACACGTGGAAAACCGCGCGTGGCGGCCCTCGGAACGGCACAGCCCCTCAGCACACCCGGCTGGGGCCTCCCCGCTGCACAGCGGAGGGGCTGCGGGTATTGGGTTGCACCGGGAAGCGGAGGGGCAGGCACCGATCTCCTCTCTGGCGCTAGGATCCGAGGGAATGGCCGGGAGTTGTGTCAGGGGAGGTTTAGGTGGGTATTAGAAAAAAGTTCTTCCCCCAGAGGGTGGTCGGGCACTGAACAGGCTCCTCAGGGCAGCGGGCACAGCACCAAGGCTGACAGAGCTCAAGGAGAGCTTGGACTATGCTCTGAGGCACATGGTGGGATTCTTGGGGATGTCCTGTGCAGGGCCAGGAGTTGGACTTTGATCTTTGTGGGTCCCCTCCCGCTCAGAGTATCCTGTGATTCACTGACGTTGGAACCAATGACACAACACTGTGCTTTTCCTCTATAATTTGTCAAGGACAATATGTGCACCATTTATTGGGGAAGGGTTATGCCACACATGGAGCTCCCAGGCTGTGTGTCCCTCCCACAGTCCCTGTCCCCACAGCTGCATGTGGTTCTGCTGCTTGGGATCATCACAGAACAGAGGTCATCTAGCCCAACCCCAAACTTCCAATTTACTGGAAGAGACCAGCTGGAGTGAGGAAGCCAATTGGTCTCCACATTCCCCCTTTGCCTTACCTTCTCCATGGGGACACCTGCTCAGCAAGAAGGAACCCAGGAGTTGCAGATGTGTTTTCTGACCAATTAATAAATACACACCTGCTTGCCTGGAAGTGCTGCACAGTTCCTGTAATATCCCTGCTTACAGGAAGTTAGAGATGAAACATATCTCTGAAAATCAGGGATACAGTGTTTTGGTTGTTAAAAAGGGGATGGAGCCTGCCTTTCCCAGAAACAAGAGGCAAGCACAGGCAGTAGGCCAGGCACTCACAGTGTTTTAGAGCATTTGGGAACTTTATGGTAAATCATTGTCATCTCAGGCATTTAAGTTATTTGGGAGAGAGCATTAGGAAGAACAAGTAGCAGAGAGTGAAATGCACACTGGAATCTTAATGGACCTGAGTCCTGGAAGGCTCTGTGAGAGTGAATGAGACATGTAAGAGCCAACTCAATGTCCATCACACAAAACCTGGAATTCTTTCAGAATCCTAACATGAAGGATTTTGTCAAACTAAGATTTAAATCAGGTGGAATTCCTAAAAATCATATCACTAGCAGATAGTCCTAAACTAACCTCTTTTAAAGTGTGAGTTATAGAGAAAAAACCAACCCAAACATCAGTATATGATAAGTCGTATTTCTAAGTCAGGCCAAGCAAACTTTTATAAAAAGACTTAATTTACACGTTTATTTACAGTTTGAAAACAAAACCATGCCCATACAACCTCTCAAAATAAGGCTGCCTCTGAGCACTGAGGTATCCAAAGTGAATTGGAAATTCCACATTACACGAAGTACACACAAAACTGTCCAGGTAAAAGAATTAAAGAGAAACACTTGTACTCAAGAACTGAATCTTGGGATCAAATCCATCTCAAAAAAAGAATGCAGCAACTATCTGTACATTCCCAATGTTTCCCAACTCCAAAGAACTCCAATGCAAAGCTGTTTGCATTAGTGACTGTTGCCATTTTGATCCTGCACTCTTTGTCCCCAAGCACAGAAAAGAGGCAACGTGCAAGGATTTCAGAAGGATCAAATATTAATTGAAACAGTCTAAAGAAAATATTGCCTGTTTCGTTGTACTCCTCCAAGATAAAGTTTCATAAGACATTAATACCAAACCCAGATTTTTCCTTCTGAAGTATTTGTTATTTGCTGTTGCCCTTGGTGAGAAGGTCTTTGAAACTGAGTTAAAATCCCCTGAAGCTTCTTACTGGAATCTATATTCCAAGGGTCCCTTCTTCCCTGTGCCCTGTAATGGTCTTTGACTACAAACTTCACCTATTTAGATAAAAACTTGCCTGAGCTGCAGACAGGGAGTGCCACCCATCTGAATGGGACATTCTGAACTGGAGCCACAATAAGAAGAGCCACCAACAATCTCAGAGTCACCTGCAGCTCTGACAGCAAACTGAGCAGCTACAGCTCTGTCACTGCACCTTCACTGAGCTTTAACTTCACAAATACTGTTAAAAATACAGTTAAAGAGCAGTCATTACATTTAAATTTAGAATAACCACGATCTCTGTTTAAACAATTGACTTTTTTTATTAGTCAAGGAAAGGGCTGATTTCTGTTAAAGACAACTGTGGGGAGAATAATTCAAAGAAGCCATAAGTTGGAAAAAAATTTAAGGTGTTACTGAAGAATAAGTTGTTTTTCCTAAAGTCTGTTTTAAAGTTTATGATGATTTAGATTAAGAGCAGTAAAAAACAAAATTACATTTTTCTCTAAGAAACCAGTTTAAAATCAAGGGCTTACAAAACTGTCTGGAAATAAACCTTTTCTCTCTCTTATTCTAAAATAATTCCTAGCTTTCTGTGTTATACATGTAAGGAGTGGTGAAAGTGGTGCATCAGCCATACCTGGAGAGAGAGAGACAAATAATTACCATTATTTACCTTTCACAAGTGTTATAAAACTAAACCACAAAACTAAACCCACAGCTTGAGTGTCCACATACAAACTAGTAATTTCAAGAACAAACTGTTATGTAGTTAGATATAAGTTTTTAAAGTGGTAACGTTTTTATTCTACTACACCCCTATCTGTTTCTAAACAAATTATGAGGCTTCTCCCTTATGCAAGATATTTAAATTTAAAAAAATGTTAAACAGGATTTCCCCTCCATTTTATGGAGTTGGAACACTTACCTGCTGGTGCCAAGGATTTCAGTGATTCTAAAAGATGTGGACTAGAAAACTTGACCAGACATCTGAACGGTTCTTTTTTATCCAAAACATCCATTTCAGGACTACTTTTGAACGTTGTCTCAAGCTGTTAAACACAAAATTTAACCAGGGAGTATAAGCAATGAGTACATTTCCTTTATATGGTATTATTTAAACGTTTAAATGTGATCTGCAATAAGGCTTCATTTGTAATGAAGGTGATTGCAGCTGGGGGAATGTTGTAATAAAATCAGAGGGTGCCACCACGTGGCAGTTTTCTGCTGAAAGGAAGAGGCAGCTTGTTCAGTAATACTGTAAAACATTAAGTATCTCTTAAAATTGCCAATATGCCTGATCATCAGCTAAAACCTGTGCATCACTCAAGTTAATTATGGTGTTATACAGAGAATTAGCTTTGCATGTGCTTCAAATAACCCTCATTGCTCCTGCTCCAACACACTGCTGGTCCAAGTCTACATTTATTACAAAAACAAGTCAAAATGCTGAGTTCATGAGGCTGAAACGTGACTTAAGACTGACCAAATCTCAATCTGTTTCTTAGAGAGACTTTTAACTAATTTATGTTAAAATGTCCTCCTTAAAGTTTAAAAAAGCATAGTATTTCTTCAATTTGAAATTTAGCTTGACTACCACGACATGAAAATTATAAAAAAAACCCCCAACAAATTGGTTGCTTTTATTACCTTATATTGTGCAGATTGGAGTATTGGTTGGGGACCAGTACCAAAAACTTCCTGGTTCAGTCTCTGGATTCTTTCTGTCTCACTTTTGTTTTCATGAATTATCCTTAAATCCACTGCAGGGCAAAAGAGTAGGGAAGAGAAAACAGAAAGACAACTTTGGCAGCTGCTGCAACACTGATCAGATTATTCCAGTGAAAATTTGAAAACAATAATTTCAACAAATTCATCACCAGCTTTTTTTCATAAGGTAGTTGTTTCTATCACTTAACATTTTCAGTGGTTACCAAGAGAAAAGCACAAGCTAATGTGAGATACTGGGCACTGAGTGGTTTTGGTTTCCTGTGTTCAGTGCCAGCCAAGGGGAAATACTGACCCCTCCCAGTGCAGCCAGTATTATGGAACAGGGAATGGATAATGTAGTGGGAATGTAACATATGTAAACTTCCTATCATGAATCTCATTTCCCAAGGCAGCAGGAATGACATTTCAAATATACATACCACTTTCTGGTTCTACAGTCCTTCCTTGTACAGGTTTTGGACAATAAGTTTGGAAGTTCTAAACGGAGAGAGAAAAAAAAATAGTTCACTTCCACTTTTAGAAGCTGTAGCTGAAAAGAACTTTAGAGATTTCTTTTTACTTCTCATTCTCAAAGTGAGTATTCTTCCAATTTTTGACCAGTACTAAAAGTCAGAAAGCCAATCTAATTTTGAGGAAAAAAAATGCCTGTCCTATGATATTTGATAACAGTTCCCTATTTAAAAGTTTTACATGGACAAGCAGACTAAGTATCCATTTTAACAGCCTTCAACTTATGGCTCTCAGAAGCCTAGGAAATGGTGCCAAAAAATCCTAGAACTGAATTGCTCATATAATTTTTAGCCTGAGTTTAGCCATCAGGAATAAAAAATAATGAAGAGCAGGTGGGATACCAAGTGATCACACCCCCATTGTAATTTTACCTTCAAGAAAGGCTGTCCACCTCAGTAGTTCAATATTATTTTAACTTGATGGTCTCTTGGAAAAGGTGAATTTTCCCCCCTTCTAAGGGGTGAGAACTAGGCCTGAAACAAAAAGCAAGACTTATCTTAGGATTTACTTGTGAAGTGGCTCACCTGGCTATATCTCTTAAACACAATATCTTTAAGGGAGTCTAAAGAATGACTTCGAAGCTCCATTTCACGGATCTCATGGTAATTGGAAGCAACAATCAGGGCCTTTAAATAAAAATTGAAGTTGTTTTAACATCATTCTTAATCACCACTGTGCTTATAACATGTCAAAAATATAGTATTTTTAGACATTGTGATGTTTTTGTTTCAAGCAACTGCCCTTTAACCAGCAGGATTCTCATATCTGCAAAAATGTTGCATAGACTGTTATTAAGCTCAGGTTAATATTTAAAAGCATTCACAGGATGAACAAGATAAACCCCATAGCCTTATCAGATGAAAAATAAACAAACAGAATAATAAAATATTTTGATTACTACTGCAGAAGTTTGCTAAATAGAGGAAAGACTACCAACACTGATCACAAGTTAACAGAAAAGATGTTTTAAAACTAATGAAGAGCGTTCCCTGATGAGCTAATATGTTTAGTTCTTCAACTTAACCCTGTTGATGTAATATTCTTCAACTTCTATGAGACAATTTAATCAAATACTGCCTTACACTGTGCTAAGGAATTAGAACAATTCAGGATCAGTAGAAATCCCAGTGAACTGAATTTATTCACGCTGCACCAATCCAAAGCTTCGGCTTTTGCCCCCTTTTTATCACCAGGGAGAAAACCAAAAAAGAAGTAATTTAGTAAATTATGTTAAGTGAGGAATCTGTACCCATCCTCTTGAAAGCTAACACAACCCTAGCTGTCCATGGCTGTGGTGAAGTCAGGCTCTGAGCAGCTTTGTTGTGTACCTGGCACAGCAGAGGCAAGTTGCTCTTGAGCACCGAGGCCGAAATGAAGACGTAGGGAGTCTGGGAGTGGTACACGACATAGCTGGGCTTGTACTGGTTGGGTTGTCTGTGTGGGGTTCCCCAGGCAACCCTAATCCAGATGGCATTATCCTCATATTCCCTGAAGGTGATGGTGACCTGAGAGAAAAAGAAAAGCTTTGATTTACCATCACATTTCGGTGGCCATAAAGATTTTCTTCTCCCTTAGCCCCAACCATCATTTAGTACACCGCTGCTTGAATAAGAAACAAAACCCACTAAGTGTGGGCAGGGGTTGGATTGCAATCAAATTTCCACTGAAAAACAATAACCTCACAAACTGGGATAAAAAGAAGAATCACCTTTGGAACTCTAATATTACTTTTCTTCCTGTCAATATACGTTTTCTTGTGAAGGGTGAAAATAAAACCAGCTTATTACAAACCCCTCGATTTCTCCTTTGGGAAAATAACAACACACAAAGATGTCTGTTTAGATGGAGGCTTAGTGGCAATAATTCCAATATGTCCATTTTTGGAGAAACTAAACTGTTAATCAGCTTGTGATTTTAGACCCCAATATAATATTTATCACTGGTCAAGAATACACAATCAAAAGTCTGAAGATTCCCTTTCCTATTCTCGTAGATATGCTCCTTGTTTACTTCTTTTTACCTTGACTCAAGCTGGGCGACTTGGGAGTGGAAAAACTTCCTTTAAAAACAAACAAACCAAACAACAACTCACTTTTTGACTGAGGCACAACTAGGGGCATCAACTGTTGAAATTGCTGGGCCAACAATACTTCTCGAGGGTTTTGAGAAACTTTCTTTTTTAAAAACAAAAATATTGCAAGCTTTTCTTCTGAGAGAGTGAGGTGAGCTGCAGATGATTGGCTGTGAGCCTGATTTGTGTTTGTTGTCAGTGGGAATGCACTGAGTGTCAGGGAGTGTCACAGGGAATTAGCCAGAGGCATTTTCTATTACCTTGCCTAAATGAAACCTGTGAACTAAAGGAAGAAAAGGCTTCTGCAAATTGCTTAGTAAAAAAGTGAAATGAGAGTATTCCCTTCCAATTTCGCCCTTAGCATGTTCACTTCTGCAGTCTAGAAACTGCTTCTTGCTGTTAACAGTGTTTTTTCAGCCATTTTGTGCAGAAATTCCAGAGCCAAGTTCTCACAGCCATCACAAAATGCCATTTCAAAACCACAACTGAAAGGAAATGAATACAATGTTGTTACTAATCTAAATTATAGCTGAACTCTTTTGTCCTGCTTAATGGCTACTCCAAGCTCCCTCTATGCTGTTTAAGATTTTTACTGTGTGTTGTTACTGAGGAACAGGCAAAGAAATATCAACTTACTGAGGCAAGGTGTGCACTCAAATACAGCAAAGATTTGATAAGAAGACACCACCATGCTGCTTTCCTTGAAGTCAGTCCCACTTTAAGACAAACTCACATTTTATTTCCCTCCAGCATAATTGTGAAGTTGCTACAACAGACACACAATACATTTTTCCTATTTCATATGCAGTTCCTACCATTCCCAAATGAATAATTCCACTTAATTTTGGACACAAACTGTGAGGAAAGGTTATGAAAACAACCTAGTGACACCAGAGCTGTGTAACAAAACTCAGAATGGGTTTATTCTTACGTTTTTCAAGGCTGACTGAAGTCTCCTTTTAAATTTCTTTTTGAAATCTGTTAAGTCAAAGTATTCCACTTCTTCTCCTGTTAACATGAGGAAAAAAAGTCAACCCAGAAGTAAGAATTGTCTGTGAAAGAACTAGTTCAGAGATGTTTTTAGTTTTGCTGAAAGAAAATTAAGCAGAAAAAGCTGAAGTTGCATAACCTTATACCAAATGTAGGTTAAGTCTGACCTTCATTATTGCTATATAGAGAAAAGGTTAATATTTAATTAGTAGTCACTAATTTCTAATAATTGCTTGAGAAGTTAACAGAAAGTATTCTAAAAACATTAAAGGTATCTCCATTGAAAAATCCATACTAGACTGCAGTAAAATGTTCAAAATATCTCTACAGAAGAAATCCATATGAGACTATATTTATATTTAAAATGTAGGATACGAGGCAGCACAGCACTAAGTTGCTGAGAACTGTGGGAAGGAAGGAAAGGAAACAAGGAAAGAGATTTTACCTGTTCTTCTCATCTGGTAAACACTCCACATTCTTTTGTTTTGGTAGATGTGGTTGTCTAAGAAAGATAGGAATTGCTCAATAACACAATGTATTGTCAATAAGTAATTGGAGGAACAAAGAATTTTACAATACTCTTACAGGCAGGATACTTTAAAAAAGATTACTTCTGATAATGGAATATAATTTATTCAGCATTCTTAAATTACCATTCACAGCAAACATTAAAACAGTTTTTTTACTAGCAGAGATGGGAAGTTCTTTTGTAACTCAGTGAGCAGCCAACAAAGGGCATCTCTGAGGGTCAATGTTTAAGGAAAGGTTTCACCCAAAGTGACCAAACCCAAATGTAAGATGTGTAGACTGTTAAAAGAAACCCTGAGATTTAAACTATTGTTATATAATCAAGCTGTGAATTAATACTGGAGTGAAGAGTTCCAGCTGGAGTATTTGCTGACAGTTTTGCCTTTGTCATTTCCTGTGGGACATGGAATTACTGCCTTTAGGGTTTGGTGCACACTAGAGACAAACCTTTATTTATAACTGTTTGCTGGATGTGGGTTACAACAGTTTACATCCATTGAGACCTCAGAAACAGCAAAAATGCTTTTGTTGATTTTGAACTTTTTTTAAGCAAGGTCACCTCCAATAAGATTCATCTAAAATGTGATCTGCTCACACCAAGTGCATCTGTACTGCCCCCAGTAATCACTATGTAATTAGGGGCATTATCAAGTTACTAAAAAAAAAAAAAAGGCTATTTTAATTAATTTTTTACTTACAAATTATGTCTAGAACAGCTGCTTGCTTTATGTCTGCAGAATTTTCCTAGAAAGAACAACAGTGTATTGGTGAACTGCAGGTCCAGAATGCTCAATCACACTGCTTAGCATATGAAAAATGTCAGTGTTGGCAGTTTAAATTCCATTGCACTGGAGCCCCCAGCACCTACACTCTCCTCAAAGACACCACACCTGGTCCCAGGGTGCACACAACAGAGTTTTGAGAAATCAGCAATGAAAACTGTTTCAGCAAGGTTGAAGTGTTCCTCTGCAGAAGCAGCAAGAACATGGTATGATGTACAAGCAATTAAAAAAATAACTAATGGGCATTTGTGACATAATGCAACACTGACTAGTATTTCACTGAATTTTAACATACTTGGTTTCTCATTATTTAACCTTTACAGCGTGAAAAGATTTTTGAGAAACTTCACAACACAACTTGTTACAGATACAAATGTTTCAGAAACAAATGCTATTTTAAAATATGACATTTGCCATCTCAGGAGAATAACTTCATGGCTTCTTTCCTTTAGTTTGATCTACGCTCCAGGTAATTAACCTCTGAGGATGAAATTCAAAGGGAAGGATACAAAAAGCTATAGAATTCAAGAGATATCAGTAATAATTGTATCTCAGTTATGATATTATTTATAAAGACTCCTGGTATATATAAAGATTCTTGGTGCACCAAAATCAGAGTTAGATCAGATAAATTTTTTGGTTATAGTACACTGAATGGAAGTAATTCTAGCCAAGGAAATTTTTCAAACAAATCTGAAAAGTCTAAAAGATATAAACCACTGCTGTCATTACCCATACAAAATAGATTTAAATGAGGCCTGTGCAATGAGCCTTTATTTTACAACTTAGAAACATGCCCATTTTTTAAAGATTCAACATACTGAGCTTTTATCTAACTTGTGTCATTTAGAGCTCAAAACATGTATTTTCATACTTAGTATGGGGCAGTTCTACACTCCTATAAACCAGACAAAACTGATGATATTCCCAGTTCAGGTTTGCATTTTACAGACTACAAACTGCCATTTGATGCTGTTTTAGGGCCAAAGATTAATTTTTTTTCGATGGTGCTTCAATATGCATCCTCTCTGTCACTGACAGCCCCCAAAGGAGAGGATTTACCTCACAGAGTTGAACAACTTCTTGGGAAATGTTATCCTTTATCTGATGGAAGTTGACAGTCTGCAGCTGTGCCTCAGAGAGAAAGTCCCATTTCTGCAGCATCATCTTGATTTCATCCCGTGGGATTTTTAGCACAGTTCTGCGGATATACTCAGCCACAGTTTCATCCATGATGGAGCCACCTGGAAAGCTGAAAGGTCAAGGAAGTTAAGAGCAAGGCAGGGGCAGGCTCAGGGGATTCGCTCCCTTTGAAGGTGCCCAAAGCTGCACCTCGGCACGACTGGCAACACTTTGGTGTCAGCCCTAAACGTGGCACTACCAGAGACTTAGACACCAACAACAGCGAGTTAAAACCCTTCTGCAATAACTTTCATAGAATCACTGAAGCATAGAATATTCTGAGCTGGAAAGGACCCACAAAGCTCATCGAGTCTAGCTCGTACCAAGTGCCCGAGAGCGTTGTCCAAACTCTCCTTGAGCTCTGTCAGGGTTGGTGCTGTGCCCACTGCCCTGGGGAGCCTGTTCAGTGCCGGGCCACCCTCTGGGGGAAGAACCTTGCCTTATATCCAACCTAAACTTCTCCTGACGCAGCTCCAGCCATTCCCTCGGGTCTGTCACTGGTCCCCACAGGGCAGAGATCGGTACCTGCCCCTCCTCTGCCCCTCACGAGGAAGCTGCAAACCGCGATGAGTTCCCTCCTCTGAGCAAACCAAGTGCCCTCACTCCCGCCCTCAGAAGTTCCCCTCCCTGCCCGAGGCCTGGTGCGAGTCGAGGGACGGGGCGTTGGGTCTCACCCAGGGTCGTTCCCGCCTGTCCGGTCCGATAAATGCCCTCAGACAGCGAGCACGGGCGCGCAGAGTCCCGAGGCGAGCGGAGCAGCGGAACCGAGCGGCCCAACGTTCCCGCCCGCCGCCCGCCTTTCGAACCGGCCAATCAGAGCCCGCGCCGGGCCCCCGCCGCCCAATCACAGCGCCTCCCGCCCCGGAGCCGCGCGCGCCCTCCCGGCTGAGGCGGCTTCCGGCCGCGGCCGCCCGAGACACCGCGCCCGCCCCGCGCCCCGGGCAGAGAGCGAGGGGCGGCCTCGGGCCGGGCCTCAGGGAACCCTGAGGGAAAAGAAGGTGTGTAGGGAAACCCTCCTTCCGCCCCCTGTCACGTTCTTCGCTCCCCACCGCCTGACCTTGGGAGTCCGGGTTCTGGGACCCTCCGCTCGCCGCGCGTCTTCCCGCGGGGCGCAGGGAGAGCTCTGGGAGGGCAGCTCTGAGGTCTCGCCGCTGTGGCTGCCGTCAGCTGCTGTGCGGGTGTCCGTGTGTCCGCGTGTGTCCCGCCGCTCTGTGAAGGCCTCCCGGGAGCAGTGAGGAGCTGCGGACAGCGCAGGTTCGGGGGGACCCCCCGCCTTACCCTGGTAACAGAGCGGGTGTCCCGGCCCCTCGCACCCACCCCTTGGCACAGCCGTGTCACTTGGACAGTGTGTACTTTCTTTCTACCTTTCGTCAGGGGGTCTGGCTGCTCGAGGGGTCAGAGCCTGTGTTTTCCAGCAGGGAAGTGTGATCCTCTTGCTCCCTTCTTTTCCCTAGCAGCTTTACAGTAAGCCAGGAGATTCTGCTGGCAGCACTGGGGTTATAGTGAGCTTTGGGAAATTCGTGAAATAGAGATGAAATGAAGCCTGGTCTGGTGGATGCAGCCAAAGTACAAGATCAGCAGGGAGAACGGGAACTGGGTGACAGCACCTCGTCCTTCTGGAATCCTAGAATGGTTTGCAATGGAAGGGACCTTAGAGATCATCTCATTCCAACCCCCTGCCATGGACAGGGACACCTCCCACTGGAGAATGCTTTCCTTTTATGCTGGCTTGGTCTCGTCGTTCTTGACTGCATATTGTTGTCTTTGTAGGCATAGCAGGAATAGGAAGAGACAGCTTCAGTAATCTTTGATACAGTGTTATATTGTGCAGTGGTACTGGCTGTATGTCGTAATAAAAATATTCCACTAATTGTCCTGTAACTATGCTGATGTTTGTTGTGTGAATACAACCTTAAATAACTGCCAGGAAATGAAAATGCCTTCTTGTGCTTTACTCAGTCCTTTGTATTAGAAATAGAACTGTAGAAGTTAGTTGATATTCAAGTTGGTGTTCAACCTGCTTTATTCATTAGGACTAACACCTTATTGCTTTACTAGATGTGAAATCAGGTATGATGTAGTTTTATCAGATATTTATTACTAAAAGTAGCAGGTGAGCTCATTCTGCTGCTGTCAGGGATGTTGAAATGTTGGCAGAAAGTGGCATGAACCTCATTTATCAGAGTTTTTAAAAAATACTGGTTTTTAGGTTCAGGGAAAGTAAATGTGTTCTACATAATTAAAAATATTTAAAGTAAATATAATTGACCCCTTTTGTATTTCCTTGCTATTTACAAGTCTTGACAGATACATTTCTAAATTACTTACCAGAATGGGGGACATAATGTTGGGAAACTAGTGACTAGTTTCAGAGACTGAAATTCAAGAGGTTATGACTAATTTGTGTAAGACTTGGCTAAAAGTGGTTTATTCAAGAGTTCCCTTGTGTTCTGAGATCCTGTGCACCAGCTGTGATTTCTCACTGCACTGAGTGACTGATCCAAGTATTCGAAACTTGTCACCAAAAATACTTTGTGTATAAAAGGTGACAGTGGGAACGCAGAAGTTCTGCTGAAGTGACAGGAACGATACCGTCGGGTGTGGAGCTGAATCCTTTTTTTTATGCTAAAACTTTGTTCAATCTCACAGAAAACGTTAATGATTTGAGTAAACTGAGTTGTTTGGATTGTAAGTATTTTTTTCCAATGCCAAACAGAACAATACTAAATAACTGAGCATTTAAGACCCCGAATGTTTGGTCTTACTCGAGTTACACAGTGACATGAAGTGCAAAAGTAAACGTTAAACGTGGAGAGCTCCTCTTTAGAGGAATTACAGGTTTGTTCACCCTTCCCTGCTGCAAGTCGTGTTCTGCTTTGCTCGGTTCTGCTGCCGCCTGGTGGGTGTTATTTGAGCGTTTGCAGCAAATGTTTTGTGTTCTGTGGAAAGCAGAGTTCTGCGTTTCTGGTTAAGGAGCTCAATGATCAGCAGGGGAGGTGCTCAGGTGCAATTTTTCATCCTCGGGGTTGGTAAACAAGGATTTGCGTTTTGCCTTAAGTCATTTTTCTGGGCAATATGTGAATTCATGTTGGTTTTGTTTTGGTTTTTTTTAACATTGACAGTAGAAAGTTGAAAAAAATGACTGTTGTGTTCTTTTTAAATGAAATAACCAAAACTTGGCTTAAAAAGTAGTCTTAGAAGACATGTTTAAGTGAAATATGGAAAAAGCATCATATGGAAACAATTGCCTGGATTTAACCCTTTTTTTTCATGGTGACCCCTCAAGCATGGAAATATTAAGCATTAGGCTGATCAGCAACACTAAGGCAACCTAATTTAGTTTTCCTTCTGGATCAGGGAACTGGTTAGTTCACATTTATGGGAGATTCCAGGAAAAGCAAGGAACTCCTGTGGATTCCTGACATGCTGACCTCATAATTCATTTTGGGAAGAAGCAGCAATGTACCAAATCCCTTCTTTCAACATGTGGCCAGGTCCTTTTGCTGCTCTTTGCCTTGAGGAGGTCAGGAGGAGAAACTGGCCCATGGAGAGAAACAAACACTTGATCCTAAATTTTGGTGTCTAACAGGAGTGTGAATGAAATGCCTCCAGAGTTCTTTGCCTGCTCCTTTGGGACAGCCTTTGGTTTCTGCCCACTTGCTTGGCCTTTGTGGTTTTAATTGAACTTTGTGATATATGTAGGTTCCTTTTGCACATTAATATTAAACATTTAATGTGCTGAACACGTGTACAGATCAACTTTTAGATTAGGGATGAGTATCACTTCTTGATAATTTATGTGTTGATTCCTATTAGGAAATCTTAAGCCATTTGATATCCTTAGTGTCCAAGATTATTTATGCAAGGAATTATCTCATAATTTTTCAGAACAAAAATATTAGTATTGGCAGTTCAGTGTCATTGTCAGAGAATTGCTAAGTTTAGGCTTTTGATTTTTTTAGAAAGATTCTGGTTTATGTTGGAATATAATTAAAAAGAAGCTCAAGAAAGCAATGGCTTATCCTGTCCTTTCCTCATACACATTGTTGCTTCTCTTGAAACTCTTTGGTTTGTCAGAGTCATTCCCCTCTGAGCCTCCTGTGATCACCTGCAGATCACTGCCTAATGTGACATTCCTAAACATCAGTTTAGGACTGAGCACTGATGACACTGCTCTGTCATAACTTTACAAGTCCCTAAAGGCCCCAGGGAAGGCTTCCACGAGCACCATAAGATGTTCTGTTACTTTATTCCATGTAGCCTCCATGAACTGAGTGCCAGGTCTGGTGATGGAACTCGAAAGATTCTGATATTGAGTGTTATTTGAGAATTTCGGGAATGCTGATCTATGAACTGGTGTGACAGCTGGGACCTTTGATTTGTAGATCTGTCCTACTTGAGGTGCCATTGGAAAATGCTTTTTGAGCTGGTAGAAGGTTTTAATTGCTGCAGTGGACACCTCCCCGTGTTTGTGACACGGCTGGCTTTCACCCATCATCTGAGAAGACTTTTGTAACCGATGGCAGCGATCGTTCACCTTGGTTTAGAAATAACGAGTCTTTCCTTGGAGTGCTCCGTTTGACTTCCCGGTTCCCGGTTTCACCGGGCCGCTGCTCCTGCTTTGTCCCTCCCGCACACCCCCCTCGGGTGGCGCGTTCAGGAAGCGCAGCCGGAGGCTGAATGATGAAGAGGTTTAATGATCATCTGGGTTCACACGTGTTACAGTGAAGCACAACCGCTGAGCAGGTCACCCTCCCAAGGGAGCACTAACTCCAGTGCTATCAAAAACCTCCACTGATAAATTTAAAACGTATTGACTTTGTGTGGCATGCAATCAAAAGCTGGTGGCAATAACACAGCAGGGTTCTTAATCACTTTGCTGTTCCAGTCGTGCTCCTGCTGTCATATTTCCAAAGGTTCATTTGTTAATTTGTCAGGTAGAATGCTGAAGCAACTTGTGCAGTCTCCAACAACTTTTGTGCTAAGAGTAAGGGTGGTGTAATATTAGACTTTCAGATAGTGTGGGGGAAGATTTTTGGAAGAAATCACTACATGTGTTCACAACATTATGTGGAACACATTCTCGTGGTTCTCAAGAGGCTTTGAAATGTTTGGAATTTTAAAATTTAGTTTGCTTTTGGGAATCTAACTCTTGTGAAGCTGAGCACATGATGGGAAGTACTGGGTACCTTAGTGTATGTACCTCTTCAAGCTGAATGTATTCCTAGAGCATCCTAAAAATAGCAGTGTGGATTATTGCTGCCAGCACTGCAGCTGAATGTGGGCATTTTGCAATTGTAAAATCTGACCACTGGCTACTTGTATTTGTCTGGTCTGTTCAGCTGGAGCTTTGAGGCAGTGATGGCTGTTTAATACAAGCTGTAGTGGTGTTTGCCTGATGTGTTGCAGCTGCAAAGGTGATCTCCTTGGGAGAAGAGGGAATGACAAAATACTTAGTAAACAAACAAACAGGCATCTCTTTAATTCAGTGGCAGCATGGACCATACAAGTAGAATTTTGCCCATCTGTCCTGGTATGAACTGGACTTTCCTCCTCCCCTCCCTGGTGCAGTGATTTTCCACAGGAAAGATGTCACTTTATTTCAGCTGCTACCATGTGACACTTTCATCCTCTTCAACAAAAGAACTTTAACATTACTTCTGGGGATTATTTTTTTTTCCTCAGTGGGAGGCAATATAAAATTTTATTTCTAGAATGAAATTTGCTCCTGCCCCACAGAATCCTGCAGGAAAGGACCTGGGGGTCCTGGCTGATGTGAAGGTAA